TAAAATATCTGATTATTTTTTTTAACATGTCCAACAGATATTTTTTATGTTTTTTATTATCACCACCAAAAAACTTTTAAAATCTAAAAGTCAACTGAAACATAACTACAAAGTCAATCAAGAAATTTGAATATTCTTATATTTTTTTCAAGATTGTGGATAATAACTATATTTTTTCATACAGTTTCATCGAGTTCCCTTTCATGGAAATCCCCACAAGAAATTCCTATATTCCCACAAACACTCTGGAGAGAGATAACAGGCTTTGTACACTAACTCCATCCGAAATAGCTGGTTAATTTCAACAGGGATAACTGAATGAGCTGGGCCCCAAATCTGATCCGTGCATTTCATAAATGTGTTATTTCAGAATCGATAACGTTAGTCAATGTTTCAGGCCAGCAGTATGCGAAAACAAGAACACTGAGAACACGTAATGCACTGTGCTTGTACTTCAACACATAAGTCGCGGTAAAAAATACTTTCTTCGGCACAAATTTTGCTAATTATTCTATCAGCGATTGAGGTAATGAGTCTAGACATCTTGTCTATTTGGTTATCGGATTAAGTCTGTAACCTATAAACATCATGGAAAATTAAGGCTTTAACTTGTCATTTCCAAAATATTGTTCACAGATTTGATTAACCTTGAGAACAGGGTGCATAAAAAGTACCCCAAAATGAATCTATTTGTAGATCTGAATCTTGTTTGGGCATCAAGCACTTTAGGGATGTGAGCAGGTAAGAAATAAATTGTATTGCAATATATTGTGATACAGGTATCTGTATTGTGATTCGTATTGTGATATATTAGGAGTGAACCTGTTTGACAGTGATTGAGACTGTTCGAATATGTAGATCCTATTTTCTACATCCTAAGTATATATTACTGAGCATGGCCTTGGATACAGTGAGTGAGTGAGTATGGTTTTACGCCGCTTTTAGCAATATTCCAGCAATATCACGGCGGGGGACTCCAGAAATGGGCTTCACACATTGTACCCATGTCGGGAATCGAACCCGGGTATTCGGCGTGGTGTGCGAACGCTTTAACCAGTAGGCTACCCGACCGCCACCCCCCCTTATGGATACAGAGGAGATAACAATGTAAGGGGAAAATCCCTTTTCTATTTCCAATGTTTTGTCAATCAATTTCGAAGGCAAACACCATTTGTGAATTGATTTCTGTTTAGATTTTTGGTTAAAGATACAAATAATAACAAAACTTGGTTTTAACCCAATATACATATACAAATCACATGACCATCACATGACTGTCACATGATGCCAATACATAGCTGCATTAAATCAGACATATTTGAAGATACACCATCAGCTGTTGCATAACATCATAAAAAACATAAAATCCACACTGAAAGTATATATTTTTTAAGAATAGAAATATGAATTACAGCCACAGTTATTGATCACAGAACAGGTGTTTGTTTCAGATGTGCATGTGACAGTTTCACACAAGTTAATCAGAGATCATACACCTTCCTCATTCCAACAAGAGTTTAAATCAAGATTACAAACCTACAAATTATTACCAATAGGTGAGGTACGTTGACATGTGGCTTAAAGTCTAGGTCAAGATTATTGCACTTATATAGCGATGTGTAGTCCTGCACCATGACCGTGGAATATATTTATTTTATGAAAAAATAATAATCTAGAAATGCATACAAAAGCAAGTCTAGCCAGCTCAAGCTAGCTCTATTCCACAAATCAGCATAGGGAAAAAAATAAATTTTTAGAGTCAAGAAGGATATTGTGTAATATAAGATTTCAGAGACTAAATGTTAGTCTAAGCGATGTGCAGATGTGTGCGTGCGTGCGTGCGTGCGTGCGTGTTCAGACTAATGCTGATTAACAGTGCTAGCTCACTGAGATACCATGCCACAGTTTAACATGTATACCCCATACAGACACTGTATACTGACACCGAGCAGACCAGTGCTTGGTTTAGCCCTTAATGCCATGCGCCAGGCGGGTTAACAACAAGTAGCATCATTGAACGTCTTTCTGATATGACATGGCCAGGGATTGAACCCAAGACCTTCCTCTCTCCATGCAGATGCTCCACCACTAGACCAGGGAGGCGGTCCTCGGCTGACAGGAGTGTCATCAATTGTTGTCATCACATCAAGCTATCCATTATATCAGGCCATTCTCCTACCAAATATTGCTTTTTAAGGATGTTTATCGGTGTTCATGTTATCCTGCACTCAGCGTCATTAATACATCTGCATAAACATCTTCAAGGTCAAAGGTCAAGGTCATATTCATCAGTTTTGTAGCTTATCTGGACTCAAATTGAATATTTTCGCATTTATTTTTGGTATATCTACAAAAAATATCAGTCCATCATTGTTGTTTTAGAGCTGAGAGACTCTACTTTACAAAATCCAATGTTGCTAAGATGACAAAGTGTTGTACAATAATTTTGGGGGGCGTTTCCATGGTAACCAGGATTTTCAATGACTCTCCAAATTTTGTAATAAGTCAAAGATAACAATAAAGTTTTGCTATATTTATATGTTTTAGTGATTGATGGAATAACATATATTTTTTAACTCCTACCGAACCCACTAAAGACTTATTACCTTAACACAAGTATGCCCGAGGGGTCTAAGACGAAGATTCTTATATCTGTTACATTTACCCTATAGTCTCTCTAGACATAATGTATCTTCTATGTGAAATACGACTTGCTGGAAAACACAAGTGGCTCTTTCCACATCTTGCCCTTGGGTATCTGAGTAGGTACATCAACAAATTTCTTTTCAATTGTTTTACAATCAATAACCAACACACTTTGACAGTTCATCTTTTTTATAATGCATCACATGGTTGTATGACATTTAACATAAAATGTCATATGTCACCGAGAAAAAGCATGAAGGACAGGCCCCTGGCTATATCATATACATGCTGCTATCAAAAGAATCGGATGAAAGTATAGCTATTTCGCATGACTGAGTCAATTTCTCAAAATTGAAAAATGTCGTTTGACTAGTACGTCACTTCATTCAAACAGACAACTACAAACAGTAATTAGAAATTTTGTAGTATACAGTCAACAAGCGTTGTGTCAAAGTTGAAGAGACCTACATAAATACTTCAAGTTATACTAGGTTCGACTGAACAGAAAATGATGAATAAAGATGGAATACACAGGGACCAACATTTACTTCGAGACAACTGCAAGTTCGACACATCAAAGTTCAACACAACACGACTGTATATCAAGATGTTTCTTTTAAGCTTTGAAGTATAATAGCACTCGCGTATAATACGCACTTGTGTGTTATATACACCCTTAATTATGGGTAATTAAATTCTGGAAAATGTATCTCTCGTATATAAACATTTCAGGCTGTCAGCATAAACCACGAAAGTTATCTTTCAACTCTGTTTTTTTTTCCACGAAAATAATATTCTAATAAGAGCCCCCTATTTCTAATTTTGAGAGCGCCCTGGGCACTGACTCGTATTACATCGAATACGGTACAACAATGTTAGTTTGTTTAATGCTGCACTCAGCACTATTACAGCTACATGACAGTTGTCTGTATATAATTGACCAGACAAACCAGTGATTGATGTTATGAGCATCAATCCACAACCTTGGGGTAAAGTGACATTCTATCAACCAAGTCACTGAAACTGACCACCTGATCTAGTAAGTCTTCTATTACAACCAGCAAAGGTTGCTGGGGGCCTATTCTAACACAGAATCAGTATGGGGGTTGTACAATATTAAAAAACAGAAAATGGTGTTCGTTAAGGCGAGCTGAAGGTGAAGGTGAGGTGAAATGGTGTTTAACGTCGAGTCCAAGATGATTGCATTTACATAGTGATGTGCAAACACGTGTGTGTGTGTGGCTGCTTGTACTAGTCTGGACCAATACTGATTTCATAGTGCTAGCCCATGAGATACTATGCTGCAGTATAACATAAATACCCCACTCAGATATATATACTGACTCCATGACAACCAGTTCCTGTTTTAGACCATAAATGCCAAGTGCCAGGCAGGGAAACAACAAGTACCATCTCTTAACATGTGGCCTGGGACCGAACCCTGGACCTTTCTCCAGGGAGACGCTCTACCACTAGACCACAGAGGCGGTCTCTGTTCATTAAGGGAATTTCATGAGGTTCTCTACGGTACGACCCTCTTATATTCTTAGTTTTAATATTAGGATTATGCTCCCTTTTGCTCCCTGGTAGGATGTTTGCCTAAAGGTGATGGTGCGATTATAGAATCTGTTTGCTACCCAATAGTATAATAAAAATGATATATCTCAAAGAAAATTATTTTGTACCGGAAAATACATATTTAAGTGTGCCTCTTCAATCCTAGTATGGTTAGGGTTAGGGTAGGTTACCCCCAACTCAAACCTTAGCCATTGCTTCCTTGGATAAAAATAGTGGTGAACATATTCTATGGCGGCTCCAAGGTAATTATTCTAATACGTATGTGACCAGAATAAACAATGCCCAGTCGGGCACTTGAAATATGACAATAATGCCACAACCAGGCAAGTAAACATGACCATAAATGTTGCAAGCTGTCATCAAACATACAGCGTTGTCACTTCTGTTGTCACTTCGCATGAGCTGAATTCTGATTACCTGTTGTGTATTATTGTATTCATTTGAAAACAAACACAGCACTGATTCAAAACAGCTTTCAAAACATCCTTGCAAAAATAAGTCATTATTCTCCACACCAAAACAAACCGAACCTAAATAATTACCTACCACAGAGCAGCCATGTCCATTAACGAACATATTTGTCAGAAATCATTCAGGACATCAGTAACTGTTTTGGAACAATGTTGACAACGAATTAATGACAACCATTTTAAGACGGTTTGTCACTCATGACTGGTCAGGCCTTAATGACATTGTAGCAAGATCTGTGAATATGTTAAGAAATTATGCAGATGGGGAAAATGAGAGTAAAAGACATGAAAAAAAAAGGGATTAACCTGATTACTTGCAGGCGACCAGGTTCACAGTATGTAGTCCTTCCAAGAAACCATGCACACTGTATCTTCTTCTTAAGTCCACTCACAACGTGCTGACCTCTCAAGTGACCTCAGTGGGCTATGACTAGGCTTCCCTCACATCCAGTTCCTGAAATGTATGTCAGTTTCAGTATAAATCACAAGAAACCTGTTTCCCCTCGATCAGGAGATGATCTCTTCCGGCAGAAGCAATGGGGCAAACGGATAAGGCAGGGGTGGTAGGGCAGACGGATAAGGCTGATCACTACACTGTACGGCAGACGCCAGCAGCAGACGACAGTGCGAGCCAAAGGTACTGGACATGAATAGCAGACGTCTCTCACACCAGTGACAGTACACCTGCCTCATTTGACTGGAAATGGTACATGTAATTCAAGTCATAACACCAATACAGCCTGCAGCCCTTTTTAGTCTCTCTCAGACCAGGAATTAGAACTGAGTCTTGGGAAATTTCCACTGGCCATATTTTACAGACATGTAGTGACTCGGATATGGTGTGATATATCCAATACAGACTAGGAAGGTATAAGCCAGTACTAAAAGGATCCTGTCTGTTTCAGATTACATCTGAGATATTTAAAAATAATAAAATATATTTTCAAACCTGAATGACAACATATGGAAAAATCTGTGTTGCTCATGTAATTTACATATTACATTAATGGAAGATTTCAGACATCATTTGCATGAGTACATGTACTAAACATTGCCTTTCTTGATCTATTTTTTGTGTGTGCTTATACCGGGTCCTGCTGGTGTCAGACTATTGTAATACAAACTATAGCCTTGAGTAGACATTTTTTAAACACTTATTTATAGCATCTCTATGAGTCACAGACTAAAATAAGATCGCCGAGCGTGTTGGGAAAGCGAGGGTACACACTGTTGCATCATGGATCATGTTCCACTATCTGAAATGAAGACAACCTCTTGTCCCAGGTTCCAACCCTCTCAACCTTACTATCACCACAAACTGTCACAGACACAAAGGCCAGCAATGTGCATGAACCGCCAGGATACAAGCCACACAGTCCTGGGACTTACGATGTTATTCAAGCTGTGTATGATAAATGATAAAACCCCATACGACTCTGTTACAAACAGATGTAAATCAAACCTGTGTCATTAGACTGAGGCACAACAAGCAAATCCTCTCACTATGGGGAAATTCACGGAGTGTATCCACACAATAGTATCCTGACTGTCGTGGCACGTGTAGCCCGAGTGAAGTCTATACTCTAAAGGCATGGAACTGACAGCTGAGTGAGGCTTGGTAAAGCATGGCTGTGGGTCACACAAAGGCATAGCTAGGGAGGGGGGTGTAGGGAGGGGGATGTGGAGGGGGATAATGTGGGGGCAGAGGACCTGTAAGGCATATAATGAGGTAGAGGTGTGGCAGGGGCAGATTGCTTGCAGGGGGCAGGGAATTATGAGCAGGTCCTGGATGGCTCAGGTCACATCGGGTCACACACCCACAGGCATCCAAGTGGGAAGCTTGTTGTGGCCTTAATATAGGAAAGTCAGGCTTGAATGGATGCCTGTGGGGAGTATTGGACAGCACAGAGGAATAATACAGCAGGTCACCTCAGGTCAGACTTGGTCATATACAGAATATCACAAACAGGAGGAAAACAAAGAAGATCTGCTTAAGACCTGACACATCAGTGGGTAGAGGGACAAAACAGGAGGTATACACAAGGTGGTATACACTAGGTGGTATACACAAGGTGGTATACACAAGGTGGTATACACTAGGTGGTATACACAAGGTCGTTAAACAAGGTGGTATACACAAGGTTGTTAAACAAGGTGGTACATGCAAGGTGGTATACACAAGGTGGTATACACAAGGTGGTATACACAAGGTTGTTAAACAAGGTGGTACATGCAAGGTGGTACACAAGATGGTACACGCAAGGTGGTACACAAGATGGTACACACAAGGTGGTATTCACTAGGTGGTATACACTAGGTGGTATACGCAAGGTGGTATACGCAAGGTTGTATACACTAGGTGGTATACACTAAATGGTATACACTAGATAGTATACACAAGGTGGTACAGGGACAAAACAGGAGGTATACACAAGTGGTATAGGGACAAAACTGGAGGCATACACAAGGTGGTATAGGGACGAAGCTGGAGGCATACACAAGGTGGTATAGGGACACAACAGGAGGCATAGGGACAAAACAGGAGGTATACACAAGATGGTATAGGGACATAACAGGAGGTATAGGGACAAAACAGGAGGTATACACAAGATGGTATAGTGAGTGAGTTTGGTTTTACGCCACTTTTAGCAATATTCAAGCAATATCACGGCAGGGGGACACCAGAAATGGGCTTCACACATTGTACCCATGTGGGGATTCGAACCCAGGTCTTCGGCGTGACGAGCTAATGCTTTAACCACTAGGCTACCCGACCGCCCCCAAGATGGTATAGGGACAAAACAGGAGGTATACACAAGGAGGTATAGGGACAAAACAGGAGGTATAGGGACAAAACAGGAGGTATAGGAACAAAACAGGAGGTATACACAAGTGGTATAGGGACAAAATTGGAGGTATACACAAGATGGTATAGGGACAAAACGGGAGGTATAGGGACAAAACAGGAGGTATACACAAGTGGTATAGGGACAAAACTGGAGGTATACACAAGGTGGTATAGGGACAAAACAGGAGGTATAGGGACAAAACAGGAGGTATACACAAGATGGTATAGGGACAAACCAGGAGGTATAGGGACAAAACAGGAGGTATACACAAGTGGTATAGGGACAAAACTGGAGGTATACACAAGGTGGTATAGGGACAAAACAGGAGGTATAGGGACAAAACAGGAGGTATACACAAGATGGTATAGGGACAAAACAGGAGGTATAGGGACAAAACAGGAGGTATACACAAGTGGTATAGGGACAAAACTGGAGGTATACACAAGGTGGTATAGGGACAAAACAGGAGGTATGGGGACAAAACAGGAGGTATACACAAGATGGTATAGGGACAAAACAGGAGATATAGGGACAAAACTGGAGGTATACACAAGTGGTATAGGGACAAAACTGGAGGTATACACAAGGTAGTATAGGGACAAAACAGGAGGTATAGGGACAAAACAGGAGGTATACACAAGATGGTATAGGGACAAAACAGGAGGTATAGGGACAAAACAGGAGGTATACACAAGTGGTATAGGGACAAAACTGGAGGTATACACAAGGTGGTATAGGGACAAAACAGGAGGTATGGGGACAAAACAGGAGGTATACACAAGATGGTATAGGGACAAAACAGGAGATATAGGGACAAAACTTGAGGTATACACAAGTGGTATAGGGACAAAACTGGAGGTATACACAAGGTGGTATAGGGACAAAACTGGAGGTATACACAAGGTGGTATAGGGACAAAACAGGAGGTATAGGGACAAAACAGGAGGTATACACAAGATGGTATAGGGACAAAACAGGAGGTATAGGGACAAAACAGGAGGTATACACAAGTGGTATAGGGACAAAACTGGAGGTATACACAAGGTGGTAAGGGACAAAACAGGAGGTATACACAAGATGGTATAGGGACAAAACAGGAGGTATACACAAGATGGTATAGGGACAAAACAGGAGATATAGGGACAAAACTGGAGGTATACACAAGTGGTATAGGGACAAAACTGGAGGTATACACAAGGTGGTATAGGGACAAAACTGGAGGTATACACAAGGTGGTATAGGGACAAAACAGGAGGTATAGGGACAAAACAGGAGGTATACACAAGATGGTATAGGGACAAAACAGGAGGTATAGGGACAAAACAGGAGGTATACACAAGTGGTATAGGGACAAAACTGGAGGTATACACAAGGTGGTATAGGGACAAAACAGGAGGTATACACAAGGTGGTATAGGGGCAGACACAGGAGGCATACACAAGATGAACCTTAATTACCACCCATTCCCAACTTTACTTCACTCTTACGACAAGACTGAGATACTGGATCCTATTCAGACCTGAAATTCACACAAGCATGAATTACTTTGACCGTTTATATCACAATGTACATCTTCCTAATATATACTCATATTTAGCCTCTCTAAATATATACTATTGACAAAAACAAACAACTCCAGTTAAACTGAAAAGGAGCCCCTGTGACAGGGGAGATTCAGACCTGAACCTGTGGAAAATCTAGACTTGCTTCATGCAATAAGAAGGTCCATTAAGATACTTCTGAATCTCTATACATGCACTAAAAGACATTAAAATCAGAAACTGCAGGGTTACATGATGAGTACCTGTCAACCGAATAATGAGTGAGTGAGTGAGTGTGGTTTTACACCGCTTTTAGCAATATTCTAGCATTATTCCTGCAATATCACGGTGGGAGAGACCAGAAATGGGCTTCACACTTTGTACCCATGTCGGGAATCGAACCCGGGTCTTCGGCGTGACGAGCGAACGCTTTAACCACTAGGCTACCCGACAACCCCTTTCAACCTAATAACGAAAAGATCGACGAAAAATATGGATGAGCACCTTAGCATGTCCAAATGAACAAACAGAAAACAACTCGAAGAACTTAAACCATCAACATCTGCAGATGCATGATCTAGGAACAGAGGACCAACAGAAGGATCCGACAGAAGTTAAAAGGATCCGACCGCTATTATCATCCTTGAATAATGGGAAAACAACAGGAGACTATTGAAAATAGAAACTCATTTATCTCAATCTTGACACCATATCAGATTAGCAGCATATTCCTAACTATGATTCCATTACATAAAAGGCAAAGACCATTTATTGAATCACTTCCAAAGGACATATGTAATGTCAGGGGATGGTTTGCACATGGAACTGTGTTAGCATCCATTCAACAGACATAAATTTCATAATTTGTCACCCTAGGGATCGTAACCTTATTTTGTAGTCATTGGTATTAGAAACTTAGGAATAATAACCTACTTTTCTGCAACACAGGCTTCAGACAAACCAGTATCTTTGAATATAACAAAATCGATTTTTACTTTTAATCTCTAAAGATAGTGAAACACTTGAGAAGAAAGCTGTTTTCTGGACAACTAATGTCATTAGGA